AATTTTAGAGCAAAGGAGAGAGAACTTTTTATTTATTTCCATTTCTCTCTTTGTGGTTCAGTTAACTAGAGGGTTCAAGCTCCAAGGATGAACCTCAGTTTAGAATTTATTGTGTAGTCTTGGGATGTCGAGGAAGGATCTCTACAAAGAAACTTTGCTGATTCTTCAAGGACAACCTCAAGAAGTCAGAGTTCTCAAATGTTGGTTTACATAGTTTTGTGGACAGTAAACACAGGGAAAAGATCTACTTATGAGCCAAGTTCCTCTCTTTGATTGCCTACCCCTTAACAAAATCTCACTGCAAGCTTCCTTCTCCAAATGATATGGTGTCAGGAAACACATTCCCTGTTTTCTCTTATTTCTTGGCTTGAGTATCTTGCCCAACTCTAATTTTCACAGCTAAGCTGGCAAGTCAGCACTTTGGGCCTAATGATAAAGGAAGTGAGATGTAAGTACATGAAAAACCCAAGAAAATCCCAAAGAACTTTTGTGATGTATCACGTCAAAGCTCTGTTTATGTGAAATTTTGGGTATCTGTCACAAAGAGCTTAGTCTCAGTAGAGTTTGATGTATCTTGAGGCACTGTCCTTGCAACTGAACTTCCTTGCAGCAATTATTTTTTGCTTTGTAGAAGCAACATCTCAAAATGACTCCCCTGAGTGAGCTGATATCGTGTGGCCTTTTTCTCGTTAAAGACAGAGTCTTAACATTTTAAAGTTTTTAATAAGCATTTCAGTATATTTTGCTAGTATGGAAGCTGCTCATTATGAGCTAATTGTTTCAAAGAGTTGCTGAAAGTGCTTAAATGTTAAATACATGCTTCTGTAAGCAAATATTCACCAGTCTTCCAAAACAGATGTTTGAGAAATGGTGAGCTGTCCATTCATGGTAGTAGTATATAAATGACACAAAGTGGATTTCACAACAAATATGCTCTAAACTCACAATGTTTCTTTTTTTTTTTTTTCTTCTAAATTTCAATTAAAAGTATTAGGCAGCAAGAACTCTAAAAGATTTTTTAAGATCAAGTTCCCTGCAGACATGAGTAATTCCTGGTTTTCCTCTGTCCTGGCAGTTTTCCTACCCAGTCTCTTACGCCTGGGCAGGGCTTCTGAGTCCCAACATCTACTCTGAGCCCTCATATTCTGTCAGCAAAGAATGTGCAATGCAGCCGTGGCAGACCATTCCACCATTGCATGCCACTCACATTCCCTTTCCACTCATAGAAAGGCCCTCCACTTTCTATGCTAAGTAATATTCCCCAAAGGCATTTTGACCCACTTCATGGAAAAATCTGTGTTTCCCACCATTCTTCAATATCCTTGCTATTCTGTTGACATTACAAATACAAAAAAAATGTTTTTAGTCTTTGTGCACACACCTTTCCCCCCCCCCCCCCCCCCCCCCCTTCTCTCTGTTATTTTTTGCTTAAGAGATAATCAATTTAATGTTCAGATATCTTAAACTCTTTAAGGGGAGTTAGCAAGTTTGGATTGGAAGGCATTAAGAGTGCATCCATTATAAATATCTGCATGAATATCAAAGTTGAGATTCCGCAAACATGGGGCAAAGGCTCCATTGTCTTTGCATTCAGCTTTTTTTGTGTGTGTGTGCGTCTCCTGATACATTTCTAAATCAACAGAATTCATTGATTGATTCCTGGAAGATCCCCTGCTGTTGACTAGTTAGGACACTCAGTAGGTAGTGCCTTACAAATGGATATAGACAGATACTTTGTTCATCTGTTACATTGTTCATCTGGCTTTACAAACTCGAACTGCTGTATTTGACTTTGCTATTTCTCCTTCTTTTGGTTTTCAGCATTTGTGTGTTTTATTTCTTTTGTATTATGTACTATGTTTTTTTACAGCCAATTGCTCTCTTGCAGTGTGAATAGCATATGGTTTTATAATGGTTGTGTTTGATAGAATTTAAATACACGTCATTTCTTACTACTTTGTAGTCATTAGGACTTCTGAGGGAGAGATCTTTGCACTACTGACCTCAAAAACTGGGTAACAGGCAGAACTTTAAATCTTTACAAATTACCATAACAACAAAAGCAATCAATGGGTAAATGAATGTCACATTGTTCTTAAAGAACTGAACACAAAATCGAAATAAAACTCATTGCTGCAGTTCAAACCTAACCTTAATTTATATCATGAAGTTCCAAGACTGTAAATACATTGCTATAAGATTATACTTAACCCAAGCTGATTTTTTTTTTTCTTTCTGGTCATGGAGGGCATTTCTTTTTTTAAAAAAAGCATGATTACTTATCCCTCTCTATTCCCTCAGAAATTTTCTCCACTTTTTATTATACTGAATCATAGCTAAAAAGTTCCTCCTGTACTTCTAAATTTTAATCATTATCACTAATTTGTAGCAACATCCTATGGCTTTTGAAATACACAGAGTTTCTTAGCTTGTCTCCACATATTTCCCTTGACTATCTATTCCTGCTCATAGTAGTTTCCCTCCCTTCTTTCTTATTATACCTTTTCCTTCCTTTGTGAACCACCCACAAACTATGTCATAATCTCAAAATAAGAAACTGAGTTTTCTGAATCGGCATGCAGCTTGAAAAATATCAAAAAATATTTTGCTGTTAGGGCAAAGAAGGAAAATATTCCTTGCTCAAATGTCCAAATTACTCTCCTTAGCCTCCTTGTAACATGAGTACATTCATGCAATCATTTTATCTGTACAACAAGATCTATTGAAGTACACCTTGATTAAATACCTTTTCAATTAACTCTCTCCGGTATCTCTAGAAGATTGGACTGAACTGTGACAGCTTATTCCTGTACCTTTATGTACTTTGTGTACTGTACATAGGGTATGCCAGGAGAGCTTTACTCATCATCGTGGCACAAGGACTTTCCTTTTTTTTTTTTTTTTTTTTTTTTTTTTCTTTCTTTCTTTGAAAATACCTGTGCAATTTGAATGTCCAAGCTGGATCGGAAAGGCCAGTCATTTTGTCCCTGTGGGTCTATCTGCATTAGGAAACTATGAGACCAGTCTAGGATTTCAGTGACTGCAGAACAGAAGAATATTATAGCATTCTGTTGAAGAAAGCATCCTCTAATCACATGCTTACTTCCACAATCCGTTCTGCTACGAGAGGGAAGAAGTTTATGTTCCTCAGCTTTGTGAACTGCCATAAAAGAGCACCACAGGTTATAAATGGGGAAATGTATATTGGTTTAAAGATCAGAGTGAAAAATAATTCCATTTGTTTTCTGTTTTTGACTGGCTTTAAGCTAAGAAGCCAATTGCAACAACAAAGCTTTGTCATCATGTATACAGCTGCCATTTTTTTTTTTTTTTTTTTAAATAAGATATTAATTACTCTGCAGTTACGCAAAATAGAGAGATTAACATGTATATATTGCTATTTAGGTAAAGCATGTTCTAGGTTTCTGTACAACAATCCAATTGCTGCATCCTTTCTCTAATGTCTTCTAAAAATACTGGTAGACACAATTGTTGGGCAGAGGCACAGCACAAATGCCTGTACATTCACAAGCCTGCAAAACTGGTGGTGGTAATTGCAGTTAGCAAGAACAGCATAAAAGAGGTAGTTTAAAAATTCTGTTAAGATAACTGAGTTCACACACTGATCTGTCAAAAATGAATACATGAGAGTGGGAGGAAAAAAAAAAAAAAAGAAACAAACAAAAAACAACTCCCCAAGCAGACTTTTCTGTACTTTAAAGAATTTGGGGAAAAAAAACCCAAACGACACACACACACACACAAATCTTCTCGCTTTAGATTTTAGATTATTGATGCCAACATGTGACCAGGCATTACCTATTGCTGCTTGCATGGCAAGACACTGTTCTCAGAGGTTACTTGGTTTTACTCAAGTTTAATTTGAGTAAATTTGTCTGGCAGAGGGGAAAAAATAACAACAATAATTTAAAAAAGTAGTAGGAATCTTGTGGCTTAATTGAAAATAACAAATAAATACATATATATTTAATTGGAATGTCAAAATCTTACACTAGAATAGCACTAAAGAACAAAGATAAATGCTATAGCTGGTTCTGTCCAAAGAGTTCCAACTGTGTGAAAAATATAAAGTGAAATAAACCTATCTCTGGTGAAGAACACCAGAAAAAAGGCAATTCTGCAGAGTATCACAGTAGGTAAGGATGTAAACAGAAGTTAACCTGTCTGATGGGAAGTGCTGGAGGTGCTCTGCTAGAATGGAATTTGATGCTCTAACAGCTAATTCTGTTCTCAGTGACTTGTAACTAATTTTCTGAGTCATTGTGTATCACTGACTTGAGAAGATTTTTTTTTTAAAGCTTTATCAATCTAGTTTTTGCCATGAAGAAAAAAAAATAAAAAAAAAATCAGCCCATAAAATTGTTTTAAGGACATTCTATTTGTTACAAGTGCTATCTAGCAAAAAACAGTGAAAGAAAGCAGATGCATTGTTGACTGATGGTTTTGTGGTAAGCTGCACTCCTGGACTGTAAAATCTAGAAAAACAAATTAAAAAAAAAAAAAAAAGAAAAGCCTCAAATGCTATTCTGGCATTTTATTTTCCTTCTTAGCTGCTTTAAACCAATATAATTATATTTTCTTAACCTCTTCCAGGGAAAATTCAATCTTTTATTTATCAGAATGCAGAAAGCTTTATAGAAGTTTCCATAAGGAAATAGTCTGGTGTATATACCACTATGCTTTAAGATGCCTAATAGCAAGGAGAGGAGCTAGGAAATTAATTATTTTTGAATCTGACTTCTTGAAAAGAAAGGAAAAAAAAGGAAAAAAGAAAATTACCTTCAGGTTAACTCTTGCCTACTCTTCCCAACCACATACATATATTTCAAGAAAGATCTGATCCATATGATGGTATGATGTATACAACTAACATTGTAGTACTTTCTAAGAGGCGCTAATTAGGTCACTGAGTTTTCCAGCTGTTATATCATGAAAGTGATGTATAAATGTATAAATTTCAGTTACATACAGCTAATACAGGTTATCCAAGAAACTGTTTACCTGATGTGTAAGATCACCTTTCATCACTCTAAATTTTCCCTACTTCTTCTGTCTGTTAGGTCACAATGCAGTTACCTTGAGGTGGCTGTTTTCATAGCTGACTCCACTTGTTTCCAGCATTTGCTAGAGTACCAGTACCTGAAAGATCTTTCGGGAGCAATGAAAGTAATAGTAAACAGTGACCAAATTAAATTCCTTAAAGCCAAAGGTATCAGGATGAAAAGAAAGGAAGAAAAGTATTTCTAATTTAGGCAGCAGCAAAATCATAGGTGATTGATTCTAAGATAATGACCCAGGGAGTTATGCATAGGCACCCAGATTCCCTTAAAGACAAACAAGAAACTCAGTAGACTGGCCCATAAAAACACTTCAGTGAGTGGAGCCCAGTTCCAACAAATAAAATACCATGATCACAGCAATGAGCCTAAAACCACACCAAATGTACCAGGGTCAGTGTGGCATATTAAGTACCTCTATACAGGTTGGCTCTGTAAATTGGAATCCATTTCTGAATCAAGCTCTTAGTCAACTGGGGCTTACTTTTCCAGAAACTCAGCTCATTGATGATACCTGACTTTTTTCAAAACAACTCACCAATTAGGCTATCTGTTCAAAACCATAAGAAAACACAACGCTTTTGTTCTCAGCCTGCACAAATTCAAATCTGTCCTTCCCATTTCCCAAATGTACATCCAAGTCACTACAGTGTGGGAAAGCTACTTACAGCAATTACAAAAATAAAGCCCAGAATATGTAAGCTTTGGATTAGAATGCTTTAGAAAACCTATTTGCATAGTTTCCAAAAATAGAGTCTCACAATAGACACTTTAAGCACTTCAGTCAGTTTTTTTTTCTGATGTCAGGAAATGGCACATTTAGACGAGTTAAAATCAATAGTGATTTCAACTGGGACAGGTTATCACTGCAAAACAGTAATACCAAAGACAAAGAAATGATATACTGTATTTTCCTTTTATGACTGGATTAATTTGTACTTTATTCATATTTTTAAATGTCATTTTTATATCCAGAAGGTCAGCTATCATTCTCGTACCCTTTGAGTAAGACAGCTGTGAAGGGGACTGATGAAAAAAGCCTGTAATTTTAATGAAGTTTCTGTTCTTGATTGGTTTTCCTCAAAGAATCTTGTTCATACAGAATATCTTCCAGCCAGGCCTGACTCCTATCCGTTAGTCCTGCAAGTATAGAAGATATTTATAACCTGTAACAATGATGTAAAAAACATCTTTCTAATTAATAAAGTTTGACAGTTTTATTAATCTTTTTGCCATTTATTATGCTTTTATATTAGGCACCCACTTCTCATACTGTCTTCAGACTTGTTAATTTCTTTTCACTATTTGCAAAAAATGAAACTGTAATCTTCCTTCTCGAGAAACTTAACATTGACAATGCTGTAAACAGCAAGAAGGCCTTACTGCAGATTGAGGACAATTCCATAATGGTTAGAACAGTGAATTATGGAAAAAGAGAAAGGAAAAAGAAATTTTCTGAAGCAGTGATTTCGAAGAAAGTCATACAGAATTCAGGTGAAGTTGGCCGAGGTCTTTTTTGGGAAAGGAAAAAAACATGATTAGAAGAGATTATCTACAATTAGTCTATATTCTCATTTTCAAAAATAGTTGACTGACATGATATGCTGATAAAAATCACAAGCTGAGTTGAAAAAACTAAAACTTTAAACCCATTCTCAGATGGCATGCAGTAAATAGCAGCATGACTGCTGCTCATTGCTTTTATTGCAAAGTGAAATGGATTAATTCAAACTTTAGGCAAACTTGCACAAACTTCCATTGAATTAATATGGAAATTACACATTTCCTTGCTGAATCTTTGCTGAACAACACACCAATAATTCCTTGCAAGAGGAGTGAGAAAGTTATCAATGACAACACTTATACCATAGGCAATATTCTGAACTCCTATTGGAAAAAAAAAAGTGATGTGTACACTGCACAGTGAAAAGTTGCATAAAGACTTAAGAACCAAGTCTCAGCAGATCACTTTTTTTTTTTTTTTTTACTGGATGCTGCATGCTCCCACAGTGCCCTGCTGGCTACAGTCATATCATTGCTTTGAACTTCCATGACACGTACACTCCAAAATCTCAAAGATAGCCTATGTCTACAACAGCTTTGATCTTCTTTCTGCAGGTGGGTATACAAATGACCAGTGTGAGCTAAAGATTTGGCAAAGTTAATTGGGGCTGGAAATGTCAGAGGACACTATCTGCAGGACTTTTAGAGTTATCTCCATTTGATGGTTCTTGTGCAGTCTTGGACTGCAACACAAAGATCTGCCCGTTTAGGCTCTGATCCCCAAACATCAAAACACAGACATCAGATATTTCCCATGTAAGTGTACCATATATTTTGAAGTGGACAGATCTGTCTGAACCTGAAGCGATAGCAGAGGTGTACAATTATTAGACACTGCTGCAAGAAAACAGCTGTTAGCTTTAGTTAGAATTAAACTGAGAGCTGAATAAGAACTAAAACTTTCATAAGTAAAACAAACTGTGCCAGTATTGTAGCTTAGCAAATTTGAAAAATAAGCCGTTCAAGTAGTATTACAGAATCCAAATCTGTGTTCCAATACACATACGTTTAAGCATTATCAAATAATAAACTGAATTCATAAATTCATAAATTCATAAATTTTAATTTTAAAACATTTTGATATGATGCACTGAAAAATTTCAACAATTCCTTCAAAAGGCAACATGAAAACTACATTTTAATTGGCATAGTTCCTGCATTTTACCAAGGGCATAAACCAAATCACCACAGATGAAAAAAATTAATGTCCTCCTGTAAAAAAACATCTAAATGCAGAATAAAATTAAGGGAAAATAAACTACTTAAATCCACACTGTTCCGCATAATAGCATAGAAATATATACTACAAAAAGCCTCACGAAGAAACATTTTTTTTTTTCCTCAAATTTGATCTTATCTAACTTATGGGAACACTTCCAAAGAAAAATATATCCAATGTATTCATTTTTAGAACTAAAAACTAATCATAAATATATATTATTTCAAATATGCATAAACAAAGATTTCCACCTAAATACAATAAAAAATTGTCAATCAGAACATAATGCCTCTTAAACCCTTGGAGGAATCAATTTGACATTGTAAGGCAACTCCAGTTAATGCTCCTTAATTTACAAGGATTTTCATTGAAAATTTAGGAAATGTTGATTTGTTAAAGATTTGAATTTTCAGCACTAGGAATCTGTTCTACAATATTACACTCTATTTTTATTTAAAAAAAAAATAAAAAAACAATCGGAACGATGTAGATTGACAATAAAAATAGTTTTACCAATATCTGAAGATAGTTGGGAGATTCTTTGAAACAATGAAAGATGATAATTACATGGTAAATGTCACACAGGGCAATAGAAACAAGTCAAAACAAACTTCACCCATCATTGAATTAATCAGAAAAAAGGTGAACAAAAGTCCAATGAATTGTTCCAGCAACCTCTGTGTAGTACAGTTCAGAAGGTTGTGTTTCAGCAGCATATGTACTTGTCACCCTCATTACAAATCTCCCTGTAAGAACATGACCTTTATTTAATGTTATATGCTAGTGTTCCTAATTAGAGAAATTCACATTTTCTTTAACAACATGTGTAATGTGAGCTTTTAGCATTCTAGATGCTGTTCTAAGCAAAGCCAAAATTTTGGTAATAGTGCCTGAACTCTGGTGATAAGTCACAGTATCCCTAATCTTACAAGTCACAAATCTACACGAGTGACTTTTTCTCAAAGCAAAATTCACCATGATTAAATAAACAGGGACCAAATCTCCACTGTCCTGCAAGATTTAAGGATAATTTACTTCTGTGCAAAGTCAGTACCACTAACGTACTATCAAGAGACAAGTTTTAATATTCCAGAACAGGCAACAGTGAGTTCAGATTGTGCTTAACAATAAAGACTTGGGCTGGAACTATGGTACTGCATTTAAAGTATGCATAAATTGCACACTAGTAGCCTCTGTTTTAAAAAATAGCATAAGCATGATGACCCTGTGCTGCTTTACTCATTGTACTTAGCTTGCTGGGGACAGTCTGTTATAATGATGTCTTCTTTTTGAGATATAAACGACACTCAAGTTGCTGCTACACAGCCTTCCACTGTGTCATGTGGCTCATCCAGAATTACTCAGTCAGCCATACGTTGCCAAAGAAGAATCTTTCAACTCTCCACCAGAAAGACCAATGTAGAATTTACATAATTAAAATAAAATGCAATTGAATAGAAACCATAAGAACCTCTTAGCGTAAAAAACAAACAAAAAAGCCATACCACAAAAAACAAAGAACCAGGAAATCTTGTATATTACTCCACACTGAGGTTTTATGCACATTTTCTTAACAATTTCAAGACCTGCAATATCCTCAAGAATTCAATCTTTATTTGAAACTACCTTACTCTACCAAGCGTAGCAAGTTTTTTTCTGCAATGCCATAAAGTTTGCTTCTACAGTAAACAGAAGTTACTGAATTGTCTCACCTGCTTTGACAGGCCTTTGTCAGCCCACTATCATTATCAAAATTCTGCAGATCTGTGGTGGGTACCTAAGAAGGATTCTAGAAGGATCCTAGATCTAAATTCCATATAGGAAAGGAACTCAAAGTAAGTCATCTCATATTCCTGATCTTTCTCTAGACTCTAACTAGTGATTTAACTAGCCTCTAACACAAAGCTGTTTGAGAACTTCTTCTCTATTCTCACCACCAGAGAGAAGGATTTGCCAGAACTGTTACACATCCAACATATCTGGGTGGAACTTCAGTCAACGAAGGGTATAATCTCTTAACTCAGCTCTCCATTTATTTTCTGCTGCCGGAACAATGCAAATGATACTGAATCAATCTTGATCTTTTTTGGGGGGCTGTTTCTTTCTAGGAAAGTTTCCAGGAATGAGGAGGAAAGCAATCATTGAAGAGATTCGGTTAAACTAATGAGGGATGGATGGAAAGTTAATGGTCATTCCTGTACCTTCCAAATTACCTGTCACCCTGTATTTTGGAACGCAGCAGCCAGAGGCTCCATCCAGTATCTCACCTTCCTTTTTCATTTTCACTGATTCAGTAAAATGTGATCTGGGAAGAAAACATGAATGAACTCTGTTATCTCCCTCCAGTAATTTTTTCTTCCTTGGCAGGCCCAGCAAACAAACTGGAATTTATTACTGATTTTCTCTCAAAAATACCCCCCAAGAGAAAGACAAAAGGAGATTAAAAATTATTTGAAATTAATTACAACATTAATGAATAATACAAGTCTATACAAAATATCATATTATCATTACTATTCATATGATGTAGTAATTGGTGCTTTCATTTAAATAGTTAAGCATAAGTAAGGTGGGATATAAGCCTGAAAATAGCAAATGGTACTATAATTACGCTTGTAAATCAATATGGTAAACAATGCTAGATCTGAGTGATTTATTCTCTTTGTATTTCCCCATATTAACCATTTACAATCACTAATGCTACTTCCTTATCTTAGATAAATGTAAGCTTTCAATATGAAAATATTTTTGCAGAAGATATAGTATTGCATTCATGAGAAAGGTGGATTCATATTGGAAAATAAAAACAAAATATATTTATTTTTATTTTCCTTGTGGAAAAGGAAGTGTTCACCAAGTGTTCTACCTTGGAAAATCTTCCTATAAGTCCTTACATAATCCACCTGTAGACATGTTGCCAAATGAAAACAGGTGGAGAAAAATATTTAGCTATCATCCATCAATCTCATGGGCCAAGTAAAGCAAAACACTCCAAAATCTTCACAGAAATAAAGAAAATAAGGACAATTGAATCAAATTTGCCTTACACTGAAGTATAACAAACTTCAAAAAAGTAGTAACAGGTCTCAGGAACCCAAATGTGCCTGTCTTCGTAGGAATCTAACATACAAAAACACCATAAAACCTTATGGAAAAATGACATTCATTTAAAAAAAAAATAAAAATTCTAGTCATTCACTCATTCTCTTGAGTTTCACTCTCACATTCTCTCATTTCTATTTTCATGAAAACCATAATTGGTGTGTATTTATGGTCTGGCCAAGATCCCTTGAATGCAGGACAAATGGTGGTTGATATTAAGACTTTGCTACATCTCTGTGGTTTATTTTGATTTTTTGAGAATGATTTTTTTTTGGAGTAGCATTTAAACTTTTTTTACAAGTCAAATAATTACATTACATTCTTTGGCCTCAGTATCTTGATGACTTCAATCTCTATTGTTTTGAGGCCATGCTATGGTCTACTCTTATTGTACTCTCATTTTAGATATCTTTATAAATAGTCTGTCTTCTTCCTGGGATAACAAGAAGGATGGATCCATGCAATGGGCTGCAACCATGTGTCTATTTTTGCTGTTATCAGAGATTTCAGTGACAATTTACCTCCATGTATAATTAATGAACATACAGATGTTATAATTACAAAATATAACAGAGAGTTTGGCTAAGCAGTTATTAAACCAAAAGAGAACAGATAGAATGCTTACCCATATCCTGGGCTCACTATGAAACTCCAGAGAAGGGAACCTCCAGAAGAGATCCTTCCCTGCTGGTTGTCAACTCTTAAATGGGTCTAGGAGAGATGGAGCCAGGCTCCACTCCTTCCAGCAGAACAGGTGAATTGCCTTCACCTGTGCTCCTGTGACTGACTCATTGCTCACCTCAGGTGATCAATAAGAGGTTCAGGCTGTGATTCAGCAGTTCTCATACGCTCCATTATGACATTACTGAAGCAGAAGCCTTCTAGTCTTGTTGCAGAAAATGAATTCCTTGATGTTTGTTGGTTTTAATGCTATCAGTTAGCTTATTAACATAGGCTATTTTTTTTTTTTTTTAACCTTTCTGTTGTTTCTTGTAGTGCTCATATTTCCATTCCCATTAAATGCTTGAATCTGAATATTTTTGTAACAAATCTCCACTGTTAACTTTTCTAAGTTGGTGGTGATAATATTCAAAACTGTGAATATAATTTTATGTAAATTTCAAAAACAGGTAAGTAATTAGACAAAAAAAAAAAAAAAAAGAGTAATCATCATCTTAACAGACATCTTCAAAGCACAGCAGTCGCCTTTCTCCAAGTGCACATGAAAACCCAAACCTGACTGCCTTTAGAATCAAAAAGCTAAAAATATGCATTTTTTTTACTCAACTTCATACACTTACATTAAACATCACATGGTTCCCTTGTGCCACTTTGAGAATATGAAATGAATGAATAAACAATTGAAAAGGCTCAGCACTGCCCAGAACAAAATATTCTGCTGTGTATAAAATTCAAACTTTAGTTAACTGATAAAAGAGAACCATTCTCCAAAGAAAATCCAAATCAGGTTACTTAAAGATATCAATCTATTTATTGACTTTAAAAAACAATCAAAACTAGATATCTGGCTAATACTGTGGATGAAACTTCACTGATTTCACTGGTTTTAGTGAGACTAAATAATTTCAAAATTCAGCAGAATCTGCAACACTACCATTTAATACCTTGACATTGCTCTCTTCATACAGTACAACTTAAAATCCAAAAATTGCCCCAGTTATAGCTGTGTCCAGGGCCTAGCTAAACGAACAACACAAGAGTGAGCATTTTTATAGTAGCAAATATAGGCTTCTCCAAATAGCTTTAATGTTGTATAGCAGAGATGCTAAATTTCTGCTAGCTACATACACTGTCCATATCTGTGTTTGATTGATTTTACAAGAAAAAAAAGATAGCATATCAAGTGAAAAATTATTTTTAAATCTAAGAAAATGTTAGCCAGTACTTGTGTTTTTCTTTTTCACTATTACCAAACACAGCAAATTAAAGGGAAAACAGTACTTCTCACATTTCATGTAAGTTTAGATTTGCTCAGAGGAGGAGATGCCTATCTTGTGCGAAGAAGAGCTGATGAATTAGACAACAAAACAACATTATGTGTTTCACGTGGTCCTACTTTCAAGTTTCAACTTTGCAAGGATACTTGGGGAGAAAGAGAATGAGAGAACTGTGGTTTCTCTTAATTTCCTGTTGCTGCAAGGTCCAATATACAGCGCTGTGCCTGGCAGAGTCTGCTGCAGGGTGCTCATCCTTTATGTTTCTTATGTCTTGCCAAGGATGCATAGGGGTCAGCAAAGGTACTTCTTGACCTCATGAATCTAAATAAATATACGGATCTCACAAGTCTATGACTTGACACTCTCCTGAGAGCCCTGGTGAAATGCATAATTTAGCATCATTCTGTCTGTGTGCATTTGTTTGCATTTTGCAGTATTGCAATCTAATTTAGTTATGAAGACCTGTACATATTAGAGAATATAGGATATCATAGAATATTATTTATACAGTGTCTCCATGTTGGTTGCACTGACCTACATCTACTGAGGTAAATGAGAAGTCTATGAGAAACATTAATGAGAATGCAATGAGAAGGTAGTGCCTCATGTTGTTTCTTATGATGAGACTATTGAAAATACGTTCCCCCAGAGCTTCTTATGCTCCTCCAGACAAGCAGAAAAACCAAATGTGATATTTTCCTGAGCAAACTACATAATTTTTCTTTCAATATATTTCAAATTAGACACACAGATGTTTCTAGTCTTCAAATTAAGAAAGAAATCTTGACTAAAGTACAAGTGGGATCTTGACAATTTGCTGTGCAGTGTTCATAGAAGAAACATCCAGCTGCAAAGCATTTTCAATCACAGACAAGAAGATAATTCTATATCCCACGAATCTATCTAACTTGACATAGTAAACATAACTCAGAAATTGATTTTGTAGAAAGAGTTCAGACTGTTTACACTATCTCTAGGCTATCTCTGTCACCACCAGGAAGTTATTCTCTATTGAAATATGCTGAAGTACTTGCATGGGAAAAAATGAAACATGCACCAGTCCTGTAATACAGTCAACATCATGTGGCTGGGTCAGTAGCCCAGACTGCTTTGTACGTGCGTTAAATTCAACAAAATGAAGACTCACATGCAGAAGTCTTAATGGTGACACAGTGTTGAAAAAATCAGGAATTTTGCATGTATTTCCTTCTTTTCACTAGCATTTCATTTTTATTCAGCTATCTGTCTCCCACAAGTGCTACTGACACATTTTCTGGTTCCAAAATTTCAGGCTAGCTCAGTGCAATAAATCTGTTGCACATATAACAGGTTTACAGACAAGAAAAATCATACAGAGCAAAGCTCTGACACAGTAAATACTGATGTCCAATCACTTTCTGTAGTAATCATTTGCTGCATACAGCAAATACACAGCAATAAGCTTGAATACAAGTGTAAAAATTTCAGGATAACCAATGGAAATTAAATATCTATTATCAACTGAGATAATAAAATTTTGTGCCTAGTTAGTTTAATACAGGTCAAAGAAACAAGCGAGAAAATATAATTAAATGTTGTGGCAGTTTATTAAAAGGAAAAAGAAACCAAAATTCAGACAGCTTGTGGTTTTGAAGTTAGGTATTTCATAATGAGTGTCTTTCTTCTGGGGGCATATGCCCATGAGTATCACCTCAGTATTGCACAGTAAGGCCTAAAGCAATAAATGAAAGGAAAAATCAGTATAGGAAGAGACTGCAGCTAATAAATATTTGATCAGATACACAAATTCACAGAGTTTGATAATGCCCTAAGGAGTTTACCATCATTTATTAACTCCTGCAATGTAAATGCTATTATGTTTCTTCAGAAGCAGCAAGCCAATAAAGAGCTATTAATCTTTTCAATCAAATATATACATCTGAAATACTATAGTAAATACAGGGAGGTGCTTTGCAGATCTGGAGTTGTTCGTGGTCTTTTGAAGAATGACAGTTTTAATATGGCAACAAAAGCATGTTTCAAAATGAAATTATTTTACAAAAATCTGTCCTGTAGTAGAAAATATCAGCTGTCTGAATTGCCAGCACTTCTGGACACTTATCTTGATTAGTTAGATATTAAAAACTACTTTAGCAGAATACACATAGCAATAGCATTCATTGAACTCTAGAGCATTTAGAAGAGGAGCATCACTCAGAATTGGATTGTATACTAGCAAACAAATGTTCATAATGATATCAACAACACTCTGGAATACTAAATCTGTGTTAACAAAAATTTTAAGTTTCTACTTGTGAAACTGTAGTATCACACAGTGTTCTAGTGCATCTTACATCTCGCTGTAAGGTAGCTGTCACACTGAAATCTATGAGCCTGCTAAGAGATAAGATATCTCTTTGGCCATAAGAGAGCAACTCGGTGTTTTTGACATGAGACATGGCATTTCAGATAGACAATGAAAGAACTATGGGTGTTAGGCAGCAAAGTGAATTTAAAGGAAATTTCTACTATTATTTATTTGAAGTGGAAGAAAAAGATCTTACTCATTATTTTTAGGGTGGTTTAGAACTTAAGATTTTACATATTACCAAATGGAGCAACTGAGAGAATCTAGGGATGATTAATGTTTAAAAATTGATGTTTCCTCATATTTTTAAAGGTGTTTGGTAGTCACACATAGTGATACCTGTTACCAGATCATGTCATATTTTATCGTTGGAGTTAGTCCTTTATGGGAACTTTACATTAGCTAAAAAGAAAAATCTTTACACAGTCATGCAACAATAAGGATGGTGAGGCATTGGAACAGGCTGCCTAGAGAGATGATGAGTGCCCTGTCCCTGGAGAAATCCAAGGTCAGACTGGATGGGGCTTTAAGTGTCTTGACTGAGTTGCAGGTGTCCCTGTCCACTGCAGGGGAGTTGGACTAGATAACCTTTAAAGGTACCTTCCAACTCAAATTATTATATGATTCTGTAAGTATTAGCACAGGGGACGCTAAAGCTATTTTGTTTCATTGCAAGGATGGCAAATATTATCTGGATTAGCGAATTGCAAATATTTTGAAATATTTCTATTCCTATTAAACTTGCACTAAAAATATGAGCACAAATGATGGTGCTAAATTCTCACAGTGATGGTATCTAATTCTCACAGACTCCTGCAGATATTCATTTTGGTCAGGTTGGAGTGCAGGTAATAGATGATATATTTGCAACTACTTGTCCTCCATTTTAAATACAGTCTTCTTTTCTGGGACTGAATGTTTTGCAGTCAGATTCCACGCAATCTGTACGTGGCCTCATAAATATGCTGGAGTTCATGATTATTGACCTGCAGATAGTAAGGAATCTTTCTTGATTAGTAACCTCAAGTATGAAGAGGAATGATGCAAATTTTGAAATAATATTGTAAAGAGAATCAATTCAAGCTGGTTAATAGGATTAGCATTTTATCAGTTACCTATGAATATTATACAAATAGAATACCTACGTCTATTTCATTTTTCCCCAAAGTATAAATTACATAAATACCTCATCCTATATTGAAGGTTAATTCCTGAGTTTCTCAAAAGCACAGGAAAGATACTGACAGAAACTTTTATAGGCACTTTTGTGAGTAAAAAATTCAGGTCCTCTGAATTTCAATATCTACTGCTTACTCCTTTTCATCTCAGTAAAAATTTCTTTAGAACTAAACGTATATTTCAACACTATTTACACGATTTAAAAAGCAATGTGTTAGTTTGAATACCCATGCAAAAGCTGGTCTTACATGCTAATATTTAGCAGTAGAAGAATTCCATTAATTTCTGTAAAATAAATCATTCTCTGTGCTTATATGGAAAGTAATCAGTTGAGCCTCTTTTTTTCCCTACTAACTTAACATACATATAAGACAAATTAAACAGGTGACAGGAGGATGCCCAAGAAATGGATTGAGCACTTTTTAAAGGTTAGTAGCAGTCTCAGGGCCTAAAAATATTCTTTAAAAGTCACTGTACATGATATGCAATTAGATGGATGAGATTCTGCATAATTTGGCATATGTCAGAGATAAGATTCCCTGCAGAGGGAATCTATCAGAATTGATTTGACTGCAGAATATAATAGATGCGACCTTTTAGGGCTGTAAAGACAGTAGTACAGTTAAAACATGCAGTTTCAGGTATTTGAAAAAAGCCATAAACACTTGGAGAAAAAAAAAAATACCCCTAGCAGCCAATCAAATTTAGTCAAGAAAAATATAGACCCAAGCTCACCTTTGGATGACTCAGCTGAGTCATGCAAGGTACTTAGATCCTTGGATCTAGCTTTAAACAGGACACAACAAGAGAATCCAATACTTCCTCATGACTGAGCTTTATTTCAATAACATTTTTCACTGTGGTTTTCTGGAACTCAGAAAATCAACAAACATTGCATAGAATGAGTAATCACCAACCTACAAAATTCTTTACCTTCCTATGCACTGGAATAAAATGTACAAACAACGTGGTTTTAAATTAATAAAAAGTATCGTACAAATATTAAGCTAATTCAATACTATCATTCTTTAATATATTGGACTGGTAGGTCTTCAGAATGACAACAATCTCTTTACTGAGGATAATCTGTATGAATCTGCAAAAGATTAAAAGACCTTGTAGAATTTGATCACAGATATTTCCTGTTTTGTTTCCAAGGAATGTCTTCATATTAGTAACAACATTGCTTATGTAATGAAAACCTCATAGTGGCAGGAGAAACAGGCCAGGGATGATAAAAGCCCGCTGAGCTGATTACAACACCTCAGCCATTTTTAATGAACTTTGGATCAGATTCCTAGGGAGGGAAAGACAGGATGGTATTGATTGCAAATACAGTAGTGACCATGGACTGTTGTCAGACTGGGTACTGCAGAAAATGCAAGAACAAACACAGCTGAAACTCTAACTCTATCTGAAAAATAATCGAATCTGTAAGATTTACTGTGTAGGCTTGGGAGGTTGGTTGGAAGATACTGACATTTTCAGAAATATACAAAACTAATAAAATAGTTACTTGAGTGCAGAACATCAAGTTCAATTTTAAATTAGCTTCCATGTGCTATCGTGTATAGTCTTAATTGCATAAGTAAACAAAACATAAAACAGGATTATTTTTTTTTTTTTTTACAGGTTACTTTCAGACTAGGAGAGTTCATTTTGTGTTGTTTCTTATTCTCAGCATCTGAGCAGGTTGATAATTATTTGAGTTACACTAATAAGTAAAGTTCACCATCTTACTCAGCTTACTAATGAGATGTGAACAAAAAGTGGAAAGGATTGGCATGAAAGGGATACATTGATCAGTGTGGGTAGTTTGGTTAGGCCATAGTTGGACTCAATGATCTGTAAGGTCTTTTCCAACCTGAGACATTCTATGATTCCACGAGAGTGGAAAGCAAAGAGTAAACTGCAGGATCTGAGGAGCTTCGAAACATGCACTGACGTATTTGCTGCTGTAGCTTTTGCAGCCATCACTGTCTCAAAAAGCACATTAAAATGGAAGAAGTATCAAGACATAGAAGGTATGTTTGGCCTGAGGGCAAGTGCCATCTGGCATTCACATTCAGAATGAGCGTGAACCAGTTAAACAGATTGTTTAAAAAAAAAAAGTTATAACAAGAAAAAAGTGATGCATGTCAAGAGAAAGCCTAAGAAGGGGAGAATAGATATTTCATTTTTAACAACGTGCACATTCTTTAAAAGGTTAGTGCATGATTTTCAAATATCAGTGCACAACTGTGCATTAGTGGATTGTCTTATAAACCCTAGCCTCTTTCACTCAGTGACCTATCAGTCCTGGGAATCTTCTTTGTCTTCAGAAGTTTCCGAACTGATCTGAACTACCAGTAATTGAAATGTCTTTGAAGAAGACATCTTGATTGAAGAGGATGGGCATTTCACATTCTAAAAAGATTTTTGCCAGCCAGTGAAAATACAGAAAATACAACTTTACAGTTGATAGTGAAATGAAGGAGAAGGTTCAATCTTATGGGTAATTTTTTTTTTTTTTTTGAGAAATCACAGAAAAAGAAAATGGGTCAAGTAGTCGGAAGGACACTAAATAATCAATACTGTGAAGTAAGGAAGCAAACAAAATGCAACCCCAATTTCAGGAAAGCTCTCAATATGCGAGTATATTAGCCTAAGATGAATTTTATGCTGCTTCAACTTGACTGCTTCTGATACCTAAGCTAGTTCACTTACAACTAGTTTGGTTATCATTGACCTACATTTAAATGACTACCCTCATGACCAAACTGAACTGATGTGACAAAAAATACAAAGTCATTTTCCAGTCACTTGCATGCCAGTCCTATAAGACTCCATAACAACTAAAAGGAATTAGAAATTCTCATTGTGGAAAAGGAATTTGACATTACTGACATTCCTGAGACTTGATGTGATGATTCATGACTTGGATGTTCATATAACTGGCTATTATGTATTCAGAAAAGTAGACTAGGTAAAAGAGGAAGAAATAGGGGAAAGCATTCCACATATTCAACATTCTACATCTATCTCTTTTAACATTAGTGGTAAATCAGAAGCACAGGTTTTAGATACATCTAAATGGATATGATAATGCTTAGGTAGAAATTATTAAATAGTATCAGATCAGAAAACGGCATGATTTCCTTTCAAAAATCTTGTCAATAATGTGTGCAAATAAGAAAAAGAAATCTATTTTTACATAAGTCAGGGAGATATACATTGAAAGTTTTATGCACATAGTAATAAAGAAACATTTAACCTTTTTTAAAAAAGGAGAAATGTATCCAACTCTACTATTTCTGGCCCTCAAAATCATGGAGGTTGGTGGTTGCCTGGGAAACAGCCATCATAAACTTGCTTTAAAAACACGACAGGATACAGCTTCTCCCCCATCATCTGACAGAGAAAATACATTGTGTTGGGCAGTGTTAATGAGAGGAAGGAAGTCTGCTTGTTCCATGTTTTCAGGTACTTGGTTTTTACTAGTGATAACTTTCCTAAGCTGCTCTAAATTATGCATGAAACGGCTACAAGGAAGAAAATCAATGAAAAAATGATTCAGTTGGAAATTCCATGAAATGAGACAGCGGAAAGCCAAAACAATGAGTAAAACACAAAACAAACTGCTTTGACTATGGCTTCAACTTTGATGAAAGCACACCCCTTTCAAAGTAAATTTTTTTAATACATATTAACATATAAAAAAAAGTAGAAAAAGAAAACAATAACAGTAGATACCAACTTGAAGTTTACTGATAAGACACTAGAAAAAACACATGGCTGACAATATAAAAGGAAAATAAAATTCATTTTAAAAATCTATTTCAGGAGAATAAAGACTTTTCATATTATCTGGAATTTTTAGAGACAAGGTATGACACTAATGGGCATTCATTAAATGCATTTGTACTGTAATTTGGAAAAGTTTAACATTATGATTATGTCAACTAAGTAAAATATAGCAGAAGATGTTAGGAGACATTTAATTAGAAATAGTACTTTATAATCAACAAGCCCAAAGTATCCCTGACCAAAGGACTTACAAGAATGTATTAAAGTATTCAAGATCTCTGTTAGTAGTGCTACAAGGAAATTTCAGATGCCTGGGTGCCCACTAATGTCGCATTAAAATTAAAAGTATTTTTTTAAAAAAAGATTTTTAAATTTTTAAATTTAAAGTAACTAGAAGGGATGGAAGAAATCTTCCAGACAGACATGAATACCACGGAAAATAGGGAAACGCTAACGTGGGAGACAGTTCAAAAACTGTAGGTATAAAGCAATATATTTATATTGTATATATACACAGTGTAAGCCATGTTTATAAAAATGACATTTGGTAACTTACACATGTTCTCTTTTGTGCAATTACATGGCTTCGCTAACTGAAATTTCTGGTTTATGAACAGATGCAATAGCATTTGTATAGCATCTGAGTCAGTACTGTAAAATAATCTGGTAGGAAATTAATACAATATGATACCTGTAAAGCTTACACAAAATAGAACAAGAATTGTCTGACTAAAAGACTTAAAAACAAACCAAAGCATTTCTGGTGGGGTTTATCTGCAGATCTAAATACAAATCCTGAAGCCATTCAGTACTTTTACCAATAAAGTGAATAAAAAATTGCTCCTGATAAGACCTGCAGATGAGGGAAAGGTGATAGAATATAACTAATAATAACAGCATTGCAACTGTACATATCAATGCACAAATACTCTGTTCATGATAAACTCTAAAGCATAAGACTGGAATAAAACTAGAACTATCAATTTTCAACTGATTCTGAAAAAATCTGATGAAAATGTTTGCATTTCTATCCTGCCCCAAATATGCTATTTCCAAACACTGAAATGTCAGTTTCATTTTGATATGCATGGAATTTCAAATACTCAGTGGTTTGATGTTCTATGATTTTGTTGAACTAAAAATTCAAAATAAAAATGTAAAAACATGGATAGAAAATCTGGGCTATGTTTGAGGGAATAATCCATTATTGTAATTTTTGAAAGGTTACTTACAGACCAACTGCTTGTTTTTCATAAAATGCACTAACATTTCCTAGTAATTTATAGTCAAGAAAACAGAAATCTCAAAGTTAAAGATTCATTCTTACAGCATTTCTATTCCACTGTCTGAGAATCATAAATACTGCCTAGGATTTTTGTCTTCTCTTGCTACTCATTAGCTGCTTGCAAAATTTCTTCTGGCACATATTGCTACCTAATAACATATAGATACTGTTGTTACTTTCAGTTGACTATAGAATTAATGATGTACACTCAGATAAATATGGAACTGAAGTTTCTAGTGTAATTTCCACTGCAGGCAGAAGCATCACTTTTCCCTACTTTTATGTATGTAATACACATATCCGCTTCCTCATCTAATACATCTCTCAAAAACTACGTACGTTGCAAACTTTGATAGTGTCCATGACTATCCATACTGAACTTTATCCTAGCTGCAACATCCATGCGTGCTACTCTCTTTCCTCTTTTAAGAATTGAAAACCCAGGGTTCCTATGCTTAGGAGAGAGAAGATGCCTTTCTGCTTCTAGTTACCTGTCAACTTCCTAAAAAAATGAGATGATATATGAGAAAATCATGGAAAAGATGTACTTGTGAACCTATCTCTGGAGGTCTATTTATTGGTCTTATGATGTGATATCAAGGAACACCTGATAAGGAAATACTTTCTTTGAGATACGTCACCTGAGTTTGTGTCATTTGCAGCATTAAAGCTTGAGTTACAGAATCAGTAGGCTGATACTGAACTTCCTCTTATTTTATCCCCTTGAACATATAATTTTATCTGCTACAGCATATAAGGATACACAGATAAAATGCGGTCATTTTTAAACAAGAATAGTTCT